TCCTTTGGAACTTGAAAACCACAATTTTAGGCTTGGTATACAGGAGGGGGAAGGAACTTGGCAGAACTCATAATCTGCTTATCTTCAACCAGCAAGCCATGAAAGCCCCTGCCTGCCCAGAGGGCCCTCCTAGGAACCAGGCTTAGTAAACACACCAGACAAGAAGCTTCCCTAATATTATTTTAAAAGGCTCTGGTCTCATCTTTTATAACCATTCATCAGAGCATTCAGTCTCTGAAAACCCTCCGTTGGCCTCCTACCACCCTAAAAGGAAAAACCTGAAGTTGTTCTAGAATGTAAGCTCTAGAAGGGCAAAGATTTCTTTTACTGGCTGCACCTCCAGNAGTTGTTCTAGAATGTAAGCTCTAGAAGGGCAAAGATTTCTTTTACTGGCTGCACCTCCAGCACTGCAGGTTGTCCACAGTAGGTACCCAATAAACATCTGATGGAAGATCACCCACCATGGCCTGTGGGTCCCTCTGCAGTCCGGTTAATGTGCAAACTACTCACTCACTGGACTCCACCCCAGTGGTCCACTTGCTCTCCCTCAGCCGTGCTGGGCTCATCCTGCACTGGAGGTCCCCTCTTCCTGGAATGTTCCTCCCCCAGACATTCACGTGGCTCTCCCCTTACTTTTTTCAGGCCTCTGCCCAAACATCATGCCCTCAGTGAGTCCTTCTCTGACAAGGGAATCTAAAACAGGATACGCCTTTACACTTTATCCCATTACTTTGCTTTATTTTTCTTAAATCAGATTTATTTAGGTATAATTTTAAAACTGCCCATCGCACCATTTTAAGTGTACACTTTGACTCCTAAAATTGAGAAACAGTATCCATATGAGTAAGCACCACCACAGTCATGATATAGAACGTTGCCACCCCGCTGTGCCTCATGACAAGCTTACCCCCAATCCTAGGCAACCACCGATCTGCTTTCCATCACTAGGGATGAGAACTGTAACCCGCTAGAGTTTCACATACACGGATCCCGGTGCTCCTCTGTGGATGCCTTCTTTCATTCAGCAGAATGTCAGGGAGACTGATCCATGTCGTATGTGTTTCAGCAACTCACTCCTTTTAGTACTGAGTAGATTTTCATTGTAAGAATATACTTCAATTTGTTTGCCCGTTCACCTGTCAGTGGACATTCAGATTGTCTGGTGTGCATTATTTTTTATTCATAGTCCTCATCACTCCCTGACATTATATTCCCTATGGGAATGTCAACTCCAGAAGGGCAGGAGCCTTGTCCAGATCATTCACTGCTGTGTCCCCAGTACCCAGAGCAGTACCTGGCACATAGCAGGTACTCAGTATTTGCTGAATACGTAAATGTCTTTACATTCATTTTCTCCTGTAACATAGGAAAGGCAAGACACAGGCTTGAGAGCTGTGCTGCCAGGTCTTTCTTTTCTATAAACCCCAATTTAGAGACCATTAGGCATTCCAAGCAAAACTAGATCTTAGCTGGGGCTCCCCTGACCATCAAAGACTGGGCTAACTGTACCTGCACCCTGTGATCTTGTGAACACACACACACACACACATACACACACACACACACACACATGCGCATGTACATGCAAATGAGAGATACCGGCCAACACAATTACTGGCTGCCTCTTTGTTAGGCATATTGAGTAGCCTGTAATGCAGTGAATTAAGGGTGTGCTCTCTGCAGCTGGCTGCTTGGGCATGAACCTCAGCTCCACCACTTACTAACTCTAGGTCAAGCTATGTAACCTCTCTGTGCCTCAGTTTCCTCATATACAGATAGTACATGTGAATCACTTAGAACAGTGGCTGTTCTTATTAAATGTTAGCTCATAGTATCACCTACGCAGTTAATAAACAAAAATAAGGGAATACTGCACAGTGCTTACTAAAATTTCCTAAAACCATTTCCTAAGAGGTTATGCCCTTTAAGTAGTTGTATCACCAAAACTCCACCTTGTTGGTATAGACTTCATTCCAGATATTATTTCCTTTGGGCCTAAATTTTTTTCATTCATTCAATTAAGATCTTTAATGAGTACCTACTATGTGCCAGGCACTGTTCTAGGAACTGGGGATACTGTGTTGAGTAAAACAGACAAAACTTCCACTGTTAAGGAGTCCATATCCAAGAGGAGGGAGACAGACTGTAAATTAGTTGTTAAGTGACAAGTTTCCTCGGAGAGTGGTGAGTTTTTGCTGAAGATGGAAACAGGGAGAAGAGATAGAGGCATTTTGGAATGAGTGGTCAGGGAAGCCCTTTCTGAGGTTGGAATGTTTAGGGAAAGGCAGAATTGACAAGAAGCAGGCAGCTGTGAAAAGATCAGGAGAAAGAACAGGCCAGGCAGAGGGAATGGCTGGTGCAAAGGCCTTGAGGCTGGGATGAGCTCAGCATGTTCCAGGAGTGGAGAGAAGGACAGTATGGCTGAAATATGGAGAGAAAGGAGTTTGGAGAGCTGTGAGGGGCTGGTTCCCAAAGAAGCGTACAGACCAGGTACAGCCAACACCCAGCAAAGCCATCCAGACCTTTCCAGGTATCTTTTTGTGACTGTTCCAGTGGGACGTCTCCCTGTCCTCAGGCGGCCAACCTGCTGGGCCCAAGTCTGACCCTAATACTGCTGAGTTCTTCCTTCCTTCCCCTTTTCTGCTCAGTGGCATTTGAAGGGACTTACAAACCAGACCAGCCACCAGATATGCTGGCAGCTAAAGCCAGGTTCTTGGAAAACTTGTAGCAAACTCTCATAGTTGATAAGACTCATGCAAATCCAAGTTCGAGTTCTTGCTTGGCCACCAACCATGCTCAGTGGCACTGGATATACTCCATAGTTTCTGTAGCAGCCATTGTTTTCTCCTGAGAATTGGAGATGAGACCAGGGTTCCCAGGAGGATGGAATGCAGTAATACACATCAGCATTTTCCACTATGCCTGGCACATAGCAAGTGCTCAGACCAAAATAGGCTCTTATTTTTGACGATTACTTTTTCCACTGCCGCAAGAGGACTTGTAATGAAAGAATCAAGAATTCTACCCTCGAAAATGAATTCTCCCCAGCTCCTGAATTTACAGAACCCAGTTTGGTTCCTCCCTGTCTTTGATCTGCTTGATTCTCACCTGTGGAGCCTGGCACAAGGCATTGCTACACACGGTCTGGACATGCAGATGCGACTTCCTGTCCAGAAGCTTAGAGGCTCATTCTCCCTGTGGCCCGAGCAGCGCCTGCAGCTGGGCCATTCATATCTAGTTAAGTGACTCAGATACTGAAAGTGGGAACTGAGCAGGGAGTCCTGAAAAAGACAGGCCGGGCTGGGTTCAGGGTACCCACCCCTCACTGGAGCACAACTGTCAGCCTCCACCTTTCCCTTAGCACTCAGACAGCCCCTTTGAAAGAGAACAAAGAAGTTGCGCTGAGCTTTGATGAGGAATCAGCCCAGCGCACATTGCCACGGGCCTGGCTAGAGGCAAAGGGAGATAAACAGGCCCCGGTGAGTGACCCACCACTGCTAAGTCGTTCCCACTGTCACCAGAGGCGACCAGACCCTCTGGTAATGTGGCTTCAAGCAGCCCTCACTCACACACTCTGCTTGCCCGCGATCCCACCAACTGCTGAGCATGCCCTGCCATCTGAGCGAGAATCAGCATCAGACGTCGGGGCCGGGAGGCTGCCAGCGCCGAGAGCGGCAGGCCATCGCGGGAAATGTCAGCAATGATTGCTTTTCCCGTCCGCGGGACCCTCTCCGACAGACGTTCCAAATAGCAATAAAGTTGTTTCCCCGCTTTCCTGGGGTCCTGGACCCAGTAATAACATCTTCCTGAAGGGCAATGAGTCTGTCTTTAACCTTGCCCTCTTTGGCAGATGTGTAGCAGGGTGGCTTCCAGAAGCATCTCTGGGCTGCGCACTCCCTGCCCATGGCCACCTTCCCTTCTGGGAAAATGACAGGCCCCGCTCCATGGTCCAGCCTCCTCTGCTCTCCTGCAGCTCCTCTGGAAACCCACTAAGTTATCTTAATTACCATTTCTCCTCAGTCTCTGCCAAGAAGTGGAGAGATTTATAATTGGATCAGTCAAATATTTGCCGTGGTTTATTTCTTTGCCTCTAGAGCTCTCGTAAAAGTTGCATTTTCATGCCACTTTTGGGTATGACTGATGACTCAAAGGCACAGCCCTCACACTGCGTGCCAACATGGGTTATTTTTCAAAGGCCAGAGAAGAAGAGAGAACTTGGGGCGGGGAGAGTGTTTATTTTGGGTTACTGTGCTATCACCCTCTGGGTAGCTGCAAGAGACACAGCTGCCTTGGGAGACAAAGTTCCTCCTGCAGCCAGCCTGTGCACAGATACATCTTTCTATTGGTATTTGGTCATGTGCCTCCTAATCCCCTTTCAGGGCTTTTGAAGACCTGTTAGATAGAATGTGCTATGAAGCAGTCTTTAGTCAACCAAACACAGCACGGTCCCCCGAGCATCCCTATGTCCTGGATTGATCACAACAGTGTCCTGGAACAGAGGACTAGATGTCCCTGGTTGTAAGCCTGAGTTATCAATTCCCATTGCTGGGGCATGAAAAGGAAAGTCTGGCCAGGGCCTGGGCTTTTGGAAAGTGGCTTCCTCTACTGTCAGCCAGTCTGCCAAGCAGGCTGGCCAGACTGCAGTCCAGGAATCCTAGAGAACAGAGGCTCCCCTGAACCAGATGGCCCCCTTGCAAATCAGCTTCTTATTAGCTCCTGGCCTCTCTGCCCTGGAAGGCAGTCTCCATGTTTGGCTAAGCTGATCCACCCTATATTTCCAGCCTCCAGCCCTTCCCCAAGCTATAGCAGCAGTGAACGATGCTAAGTGATGCTGCTTGGTATGTGCTAACCTATGGGTAGGGTATCCATATATTCCACTCTAGAGCACATTTGAGATTGACAGGAGGAATAGGAGATGGAAACTGGGGCACTCCTGGGAAAACTGGGATAAATAGACAACCCTACACATGATAGAATTGGAATTTGACCAACAGAAGATGCTACCATTTTTTCCTGGGTGACCCTCGCCTCCTACTGCTCTATAAGAAATGGAAAATATGCTGGAACTTGCTTTGATCTTAGGGAAGGAACTGGTAAGGGAGAGAGGCACAGAGGTCACTGAAGAACAGTGTCAAAGGAGAAAGGGAAGGAAGACAAGAGCAGGAACAAAGAAAGTCCAAAAGAAGAAAGCACACGTTGCAACGTCATGCAGTTGAGAATTGGGAAGTTTAAGTTACATAGGCCTTAGGAAGGCAACTGTCGAATCTTGGTGTTACATGTGATTTTGCAAACACCTTGAGCCACAGCGTCCTATCACGTGCATGTCCTGTCCCGGGTGGTACACAGTTCTAGCCTTGCTGACTGTGACTCTACCCCTTTCTCTCTCCCATTCAAGAAAATACATTAGAAGGTGAGGGAGTAGAAGTAACTATCAGAGACAAAACTTCAGTACATTCCAATTTAGTTTCTTTTCAATAAAATTTATCTACAAATTCAGTATTTTATTCTTTTGATATTTAACAAATATTTGTTGATCAGATTCTGCTCCAGGTGAATTTGATACAGCAGTAAGTTATAATAATGATAGCTGAAATTTTTAAGGCATGTTTACCATATACAAAGAACTTACTATTCTAAGCAATTTACACATGCTGCCTCATTTAATCATAAACATTTTGATATGGATATTATTATAGTCCCCTTTTTAAAGATAAGGAGACTGAAGCACAGAGAATTTAAATAGCTTGCACAAGTGTTCACAGCAAGTAAGTGGCAGAGCTAGGATTGGAACCCAGGAAGTCTAGCTCTGAAGTCCTCACTGTTAACCACTCTACTATGCAGATGAAGTCCCTGCCCTCTTGAAGTTTACATTCTTCTGTGTAGACCAACAATAGATATAAAAACAGATTATATCATTTTAGGGAATGATAAGTGCTTTGAAAAAATAAAGTGCAATAAAGGGATACAGAATTGAGACGCATCAGACACCATATCACATCATATTCATTGTCCTGATACCTTATTTGAGAGCCCCTGGCTAGCAAAATTTTCTTTAAATGAAAACTGTCCTCCATGCTTCTGTGGAGGGACACTAAGGAGCCAGCCAAAATAGATGTCCTCTCTCTCCTCTGAAAAATGGCTTTTCCCAGAGTAATTTACTTGGTTGGACAGTGATCACTGCCACTAGTGCTAAGCCATTTCTGTGTCCCTTGGCTGGTCAGCCAGATCAGCAAGAAATGACTAATGCCCAAATTAGTAATGAGCAATGGCCCCACACAAGTAATCACCTTCCCCAAACTTTTCCTCATGGGGGTGATAACTTGGACCCCAAATGAAGTATACTCTTCTCACTTCAGCACCAAGGAAGTTACAGTCATTTCTCTGGTTGACAGCAATTTGTAGACACGGGTCTTTGCAGCTGGACATTTACGAGGTTGCTAAGAAACAAATGCCTTGGTTACAAAGGTCTCTGAAAGCAGCATCAGTTTGTCATATCACTTCAAATCATTTATTTTAGCCCATAAAGACAGCTGTGACCAATGGGATATGGGGTAGAGGGAAGCTAAAAGCAAATACTCATTTCCTGAGAAACGGGGAAATTTCCACTCCCTAAGCAGTTGCCGTCTCCAGCTCCCCGAACACGTAAAGCTACAGCTGTGCATTGCTCTTTTATGGTCATTATGATTTGCAAGTGGGTGACTCGTGGTCACTAGGTACTTAAAAAAAATGGTTACTGTCTTCTAGGCACGGCTCTAAGCATTATCTCATTTTATCCTTACAACATCCCTTTATAACATCCCTGGATGTTAGGTGCTATTATTCCCCAGTATGAAAACCAGAAAGAATGTAAAAATAGATTTGCCCAACATCAAACAATAGCAAATGGCAGAATCGGAATTCAAACCTTAGTTTGTCTGATGGCAAAGCCTTGTGCTTAAGATTATATAGAGTCTTTTGTTTTCAATTACCACATTTTAGATGGAAAATCTGGCAATTCTGATGACAGGGAAGTCACATAAGAGATTCCTGAAGTTTCATTCTATGAAGTTCGTGAAAGGTTTAGAGTTGGTGTCCGTAATCTCTAAAGACCGTTTTATGGATGGGAAAATGGAGAGGTGGTTTTTATCTGCTAAAGACCTACACTTGATATTCTGGAGAAGTCAGAGTGCAAGTGTCTTTTCTATATGCTGATTTTGAGAGAGTTCACAAGATGAGTCCATTTCTACTGGACTTTTATCCATCTTCTGCCAACAAGAAACACTGGTGCCCTCATTGCCTTCTCCTTCTTCCTTTCTGTTCAGCGCATGGTCAAGCCCTGTTCTCTCTTTCTTAGGAATGCTCCTCCAAAATTCACCATCCTAATTAAGCCCTTATCACCCCACACTTGGGTTTCTGCAGTCACTTCCAAACTGGCTTCCTGCTTCCTTTCTTTCTCCCCTTTAGAATATCTCGTACATATCCTGCCTCCAAATGAATTCCTCAAAACATCCCTTCTATCACATCAGTCACTGCTCAAGCGTCTTCAGTGGCTCCCACTTGCCTGCAGCAGGATTTGGCCTCTTGTTTAAAACAGCCCTCTCTTGGGCACATTTGCTCCCCCATCCCCTCATCCTTGAAGCCTTAGCTAACCACTCTGTCTCTCACTAATCACTGCCAACTCTGAACCTGGTTTGCATTGAAACAGAGTTTAACATTTAATTGCTAGTTCACCCAAGACAAGGCATTGTGAGGGCTTGGACATTGCAGTTGAATGGATCTATGTCCAAATTCTTGCTTGGCCACATAGGAGCTGTGTGGCTTTGGACAAGTTGCTTGACTTCTCTGAGCCTCACTTTCCTTATCAGTAAAATATGGATACAAATAATACGAAGATAGGGTTTTTTCTTTTATTTTTTAATTTTTTTAACACAGATTCATTCACTAACCACCACAACTTTTAAATTTCTTCATACTTCCTGCCGATGAACTTCTGAGTCAAACCCAAAGTGTCACAGGAGATAGGATTTTTTCAAGAACTGCATGA